GTCTCACTTTTCCCTGATTCATCCACTGATTCATTCCTTGATTCCCTGATTCATTCATTCTAATTTGCACCACGTTGCCCCAAAGGATAGCAGTACTCTAGAAATAGCAATTAGCATTTGTTTTGCTATTATTCTGTGCCTTACATGTTTTGACTCATTTAATTCTCACAACTCTATGAGAGAGGTATTATTATGATTCCCAGGTTGTAGGGTATAAAGTAATTACATAGATGGCCCAAGGTTATGGAGCTAAGATTTGAATCCAAACTGAAACATTTCTGAATTGGTATACATAAATATAAGAATGAATGAATGAATGAATGAATGAACAGATAGAGGTCTACTGGTAAGTTTGAGTCTTCCATTTGCAATCATCTAAGCTGCAGAGTTCTCAGTAAACAGACTCAGACATGGAGGTATGTGTGCAGGAAGTTTCCTGAGGTGTCTTCTCAGATTCAATATCTGTGAGGTGTAAAGGAAGCAGGATGGGGCAGAGAGAGAAGTTGAACTGCAATGTATTTATCATAGAAGCCTCAGCCAATTAACACAAATGAAGCTTTGGAGCTGGGATGGCTCCTCAAAGTAGACCCCAGGTGAAGTAAAGGATCCCACCTTTATATTCCCCACCCTCTTTATTTCCTTGACTATCCATTGAAAGCAGATTGCTTCCAGGAAGAGCCATAACCTTGGGTGAATCTTCTCTCTTTAACTAGGGGCAGTGCCTGGAGAGGAGTTCAGCTCAGTGAATGAATGCTTCAGTCCTAAAAGGGGCATCTCTGGGGTCCAGCCCCATACGCTACATCAGCCTATAGATTAGAAAAGTAGGACCAACTATGTAGCATGAGGGGAAGAGAAAGTCTACCACATTATGGCACATGATGCTAGGTAACCTTCTATCCCTTTCATACCCTACACATCTAGGTATGTGTATGGCTCCAAAGTTTATGTATACATTTGATTATATGACTATGGAAGAGCCCATCACTTGTCTATTAATTTATTCTGCACAGTCAACCAATGAAGTAGGAATGGAAGCTATTAGGATCTTCAATTCACAGGACAGAAAACTAAAGCACATAGAGATGAGTTCATTTATCTAGCTTGATATGCAGTTAAGGAGCAGGAGATGGAATCTCAGATCCATGGTGTATGTGCTGACAGCAGACCGTAGCCAGAAGGACTCAGGAAGACTGAAGCCTCCCGAAGGTAATGGCACTCACTCCCACACTGGGGTCTGCGTCATTCCTTAGCAACGGCATCCTTATGCTTCTTTGGAAATATTTCAAGGAAATTCATTTTTCTGGAAGCTATGTTTTCCATTGACAAGAAGGATTAAATGGGGTAAAAGAAAGGATGGTAGTTCTCATGATTCATGCAGGAAGGCTTCCCCTTTAGCTGCAAAGGACAAATCAAACACTTACAAATTTCTTTATATTCTCACTTTATAGTCTAACAATGTAGTGAAAGTATAAAATTAGAAAAATTTTTTTAAAATCTCAGAAATTGTCATGTGATTTCTAGTTCCAGTCTTTGATCAGTGCCAGAAATTTAGCAATAATTCTTGCTTGGTGGTACGATCAGGCAATAATTCTGGCCTGCTGATGAGGGTAGCTTCTGGAAAAATCTATTTGCCTTCGTCACTGATAGTCCACACTGCCTCTCTCTAGCAATTTTCCTAATAGTCTGTCAAGGATACAAAAGCATATCTTTGAATAAATAAGTCTCCAGCTGGCCAGTGTGGCTCAGTGATTGAGCTTAGACCCATGAACCAGGAGGTCATGGTTCAATTCCCTGTCAGGGCATATGCCTGGATTTCAGGCTTGATCCCCAGTAGGGGGTGTGCAGGAGACAGCCGATCAATGATTCTCTCTCATCGTTGATATTTCTATCTCTCCCTCTCCCTTCCTTACTCTGAAATCAATAAAAACATATTTTTAAAAAGAAGTTTCCG